TAGGGTATGTCTACACTACCACCCTAGTTTGAACTAGGGTGGTAATGTAGGCAAGCGGAGTTGCAAATGAAGCCCGGGATTTGAATTTCCTGGGCTTCATTTACATAAGCCGGGCGCCGCCATTTTAAAATCCCGGCTAGTTCGAACCCCGTGCCGCGCGGCTACTCGCGGCACGGAGTAGCTAGTTCGGATTAGGCTTCTAATCCGAACTAGCTGTACTCCTCGTGGAATGAGGAGTACAGCTAGTTCGGATTAGGAAGCCTAATCCGAACTAGCTACTCCGTGCCGCATGTAGCCGCGTGGCACGGGGTTCAAACTAGCCAGGATTTAAAAATGGCGGCGCCCGGCTTATGCAAATGAAGCCCGGGAAATTCAAATCCCGGGCTTCATTTGCAAGTGCGGTATGCCTACATTACCCTCCTAGTTCGAATTAGGAGGGTAGTGTAGACATACCCTGGGTGACCTAGGGAGGTGGTAGAAGCTCCATCCCTAGAGGTTTTTAAGTCTCAGCTTGACAAAGCACTGATGGCGATGATTTAGAAAGGGTTGGTCCTGCTTTTAGAAAGGGGCTAGACTTGATGACCACCTGAGGTCTCTTCCAACCCTAGGATTCTATGATTCTAACCTTGTTAGGCTATGCTGACACTATCAGCTAGGAGTGTTTCCCCTGCTTATGAACACACAGTGGTGCTGTAGTCACATGGGTAGTAGCAGCAAAGGAATGGCTGAGCCATGCCAAGTAAATACCCAGTGATTATTTACTTGGAATGACTCAATGGCACCTTTGCTGCCATTATCCGTACTACTGCAGGTATACAGCTCTTTATACACGCTTTAGCTTGACAGAGCTAGTATGTGCCTTAAATGTACAAAACAAAAAAACAAAAAAAAACCCTACCCAGTTTGTGTCACTATTTAGGAAATTACATGGATTCTTTATCAGTACATTAATTTTTGTCACAAAGGTGGGGAAGCAAGACATGATGATAATGGATGAGATTTGGCTCAGGAGCTAAGAGCCAGAATGAAATGCCAAGATTCCTTGGATTCACATGCTTAACACCGAATCTGGTCAACTCAATCTTTCATACTTCCAAAGTGCATACATTAAGTACCGTACAACTGATGTGCAGAGAACTTAAGAACTACAATCCTGTATGTTCTGGGTGAACATTAAAGATACCATGACACTTTTAATAATAATAGGTGTTTCGCCCCGATTTTATCAGCTACATTTTCCTGCACCTGTTCCACCCCACAGTTGTGCAGTTGGTTGCCACCTTCAGCTCCCAAAAATAAATGAATTTTATTGGTGCTGTAGAGATTTCCAGAAATTCTTAAAGCCTAACAGGGGTAACAAAGTGAAATGTAATAGCCTGTGATATGCAGGAGATTAGACTAGATTTACTGATCTTAAACCACAAAGCTATGACCAAAAAAAGAGCTAAAGAATGAGGTCCTGGGGACAGAGCACTTAATGAACTTTGAAGAGTTTTCTATGACAAGCAAGTGTAGGAATTTTCTAAAGTAAATTAACAGTGGTAGGTTTTCTGTCAGAATTCTTCAAGTCACAAGATTACTGTCTTGCCTTCTGTCTGTAAATAAAACAACTACAAACATCCTTATTACAGCAGGCAGTTTAAGCACAAGGCCAGCTGAACAAAGAGAGAAAGTGCAGTGTATTAGTCTCCCTGACTTAGTACCAGATGTTAGCCATCTATTTTACTCTGCAAACAATAAACTGGTTTTTGTCCTCAGAAGCGCACTACCTCCTACAAACAGAGCTGAAACAAGAGCGGGGATGTATTTACATTGACTACAGAAGTAGGTACACCCACTAGTTCTGTGTCAAATTGATGTTTTGTATTAGTTGTCAAGTGAGATTTACATTATATTAAACATGAATGTTACCTTGCCTATTAAAGTTCAAGGATGGAACAATCTCAGAGTATCAGAGTAATGATACTTTCTGTAGCCTTACCTTTATTAAATATAATTGTTTTGCTTTAACTTTATTCTAGTGAGAAAACGCTCCTACCAATATGTAAAGTCTAGATGATTTGGGCCAAGAGCATCTATGCCTTTTTAATAGGTACCATATTGGCTATCAGGGATTATGATGCCACAAACACCTTGCTTAAAAGGCTCAGGAACTAAATATCTCATTTTGTTTTACAAACACATTTTTTCCATTAATTTGTTCACAATAGATGGTGACAGGAAATCGGACAGATCACTCAAGTAGCAGAAAAGGAAAGTCAAAACAGGCTCATTTTTGCTCTCTGAAATCACTATTAAAGGGTCATACTTTTTTTAGAGTAATATAGGAAAACAAATAGCAGGATGTGTTCCACTAAGGATGCGGTTTCTCTAACCAAACTATTTTAAGGGCCACATCAAAGTAACTATTACATTGGCAGGGCTAAACCAGCAAGCAACAAGTCAGGACAGTGGCTAGCGAGCTCTTTGTTGCTCTTCAGTACAGTAATTCACAACAGTGCAAAGTGAGTGCAAAGCAAGTACACTTCATACTGGTGTAAATGACTGCAGAATATGCAGGGCATCACTGACTGCTTGCCACAGATTTTCCAGCTATTAAAATAACCAGACAACAAGTGAATGCCGCTGGTTTATGCAAGCGGGTAGCGAGAGTCCTCCACCTTGCAGGGAAGACACCTACAGAAGTGTGAAAACTTTTAAAAGGAAGAAAGCTGAAAACATAAACTGGAAGACAGTTGAATTTATAAGAGACATATTAAGAGAAGAGGCGGCCAATCATAAACAAGAACATAGACTGGACTGAACAGTGCAGCATACGATTTAGTCTTCTGGAAAAGGGCAGCATGAAGGAGGTTGGATTTTTGTGTTACCTGCTGCACAGTCCTGAGAGTAAACGCAGCTTAGGATCTCTTTCAGGAGAGATTTTTGCACTCAGCAGCCAAAGTGTGCCAGCACTGGAGTGAGCAGTGTTATCGGTGTTAGCTGTAGCACTCTGATATGTCCTTGAGAACTAGCACATCATTAGTGATATCTTCACAACTGAATGGTGTGGGACTTAGGTCATATGCCAGACAAAGCCAAGGGTGCTTTGGAGAAAAAGCAATTTCTTATTAAAGTCCTTTGCATGCCCCTTTTGCATTTAATTTCAGTTCTATTGCTGAGATAACCAATCAATGTCTGATAAAGACACTCTGTTATGATGCTTTTTGGCAAAAGAGTCTAGTAGAAATCTCTGCTCATTTGAATAAATGTTGATCAAATGATATGGGTCAATA